CCTAGACCCGGGCTACTTGGACTGGTACCGGCCTACCTCTAGCCTACCGCTACTGGGACTCTAAAAATGCCAACTTTTTGTCTTCTTCTGCTCGGCCTCCAGTACCCGACACTTCTACCACTACTTCAGTGGTACCAGCCTACCTGCTACTTGAGTGTTTTTCCCCTCTGCTCTAAGTGCTGCGGGCCTACCCCCGCTACTCGAGTGTTTTCCCCCCGCAACCCTCAAAGTCACGGCCACAGGTAAGTACCGGCCCTGCGGGGCCTTTCAACCAACAATTACCCTTGCGGGTCACACACACACTCAGCCGACAAGCACTCAGACAGGCATGCAAACCAGCAGGCACGCACACACACACAGACATGGGAATCACAGCAGAATGTGGGAATCTCAGCAAGGCATTCATTCCAGCAGCAAATCCCAGAAATCAGCAGTGTTCTCAGTCTGTGTTTTGGCGGGTCATTACACAGCAATAGAGTCAAGGATTAGTCAGACCGTGGCAGGAGTGGCATCAGATGTGCTAAGGATGAATATATGAATGATATCAAGGCAAATCAAACAGGGAATTCTCAACGTGACTGTCACCACCATGGTTAGCATTGGGCATGACCATGCTCACAAACGAGTCACTCTTTGAGTGCCAGCCAAGGCAAAAGAACAAGGTGCATCGGACGTGTTATTGATTGCGAAGTGGACATGCTATATCTGGGAGCAAATGGTGTGTACAATCGGGAAAGGAGGGGCAGTGCTCTCATACCTGGGCGGAATTGTTGTAATTCTGATAGAGACAATCGCGACAGCCAAGAGCAACGGCGCCCGTCTTGCCCCAAAGGCGTGATTGTGAGCATGAACTCACTTGCCTGCTTTCAGAGCAGAGCTGGATGAGCGAACGCTTTGCTGAGGCAGGAAAGCGGTATCATTTTGCAAGGGAAATCATTAGCACGCTGAATAAACCATGATGCCATTGTCCTACTTTTCACAGTGGTCAGATGCATCAGTGAGGGTCATGTGCTGGTCAGGTCCATATACAATCCTTGCAGACATTGCAGAAGACGTGAGGCTGATGGTCAAGGCACTCGACATAATGAGCGTAACGCAGTTCACATTTGTGACTCATTGCAATCCACAAGAGCGTTGATGGTGTGGCCTCCTTGCATAGTACAGGTGCATTGTGCCTAAAGGTGAAGGAGATCAATTCAAAGCACCATTGCCAGGAAAGCACATGTCGTATGAAAGGCTGATCAGCTTGTAGACCACAGTCAGTAACAGGGAGAACGCAGAAGTCCAGGGGATTCTCAATGGAAATTGGAATCAGTTCAGTCAGAGGCATTGCAGAGACAGACACACACACACACACACACACACAGAGAGAGAGAGAGAGAGAGAGAGAGAGAGAGAGAGAGAGAGAGAGATTATATTTAGCTCATTTGTGCCATGAGTGAAGCACCAATTGGGAGCATCTCATTTATTTGAGTGTTTATTTTTTGTTTGACGATGTTTGTTGGGCAGTGCCTGCTCATTCTTTGTGTTTGATTTGGTTTATGTTCAACCTCTGCACTTGCAAGTGAGTGCTTGACTAAGGTCTGAGTACGAGGAAATTGCAGGTTTTATGGAACTGTGATGAAAACTCGTTAAATTCTAGGACCCGTAGGAAAGAGATTAAATTCGACATGCATCTGGAACATGAGTGTTGCTTTAGTAGAAGTGCTGTTCTTTGTCACAGTCATCCAGGTGTTTGGCACATAGATCCACTTGACATCAACTGTCTTGCATTGCTGCGAATTGGCTGAATGACCAATATTTTGTGGATTGCCAAGCCAATGCAAGCTGGGCTTTCCCAGAGGGTATTGATAAATTTCCGTTTGCAAAGTTTGAACTCTCTGTGTTTTGTCTTTGTGGTTCACTTCCTTTTTTTGTCCTTTTTATTGTTTGACGATGTTTGTTGGGCAGTGACTGCTCATTCTTTGTGTTTCATTTGGTTTATGTTCAACCTCTGCACTTGCAAGTGAGTGCTTGACTAAGGTCTGAGTACGATGAAATTGCAGGTTTTAATACCGTTTTATGGAACTGTGATGAAAACTCGTTAAATTCCAGGACCCGCAGGAAAGAAATTGAATTCGACATGCATCTGGAACATGAGTGTTGCTTTGGTAGAAGTGCTGTTCTTTGTCACAGTCATCCAGGTGTTTGGCACATAGATCCACTTGACATCAACTGTGTTGCATTGCTGCGAATTGGCTGAATGACCAATATTTTGTGGATTGCCAAGCCAATGCAAGCTGGGCTTTTCCAGAGGGTATTGATAAATTTCCGTTTGCAAAGTTCGAACTCTCTGTGTTTTGTCTTTGTGATTCACTTCCTTTTTTTTCCTAAAAAGGAAAGGTCCTTTCTATTGGTGGGCAGCGTCACCTGCTGGGAAACGACCCCAACGTCCCCTTAAAGCAAATAACTCTTAACGTTTCCCCACGTTACGGCCCGCGGAACCCTGACAACATTGATTACTTCCTTCAGGAGGATTGACTGCCAGTCATGCCCATCCAATGATTTGAGCCAGATCCCCTCCCTCTCTACATACTATCCTTGACAACAAACAATCCAAAAAGTCAAACCTTTCGCTTTCCTGTTACCTAACCCATTCTTCTCTAATACTAAAACTTGAGGCACCAGCTATGCTTCTGACTCCTTGGGAGGCTAACCCTGTCTACTCTGTTTCTTCCTCCCCGCTATACCATGTCCCTACCCTGAGGCAGATAGCAACCGAGTCCCCTGGAGGGGAACTCCTTGAACAAAACACCTCCTCTATCCATGATGCTCAGTCCGATGCTGTACTGACACCTGTGATTGCCAGTCCTCTGCGTTCTGAGCGGGTCTCTCTGATTGTGTTTGTGCTCCCTCCTTCCCTTGTGCTGAGCTTCCAATCAAGCTTGAGTGTGTCCCGCTCTAGCGCATCGAGCTCCCCGCTTCTGGAGGTGTCTTTTGCAAATTTGTTGACGATGTGTTGTCTCTTTGTCTGGCTCCTACTTTATTTGCTTCCTCGCCTTGTGCCTGTTTCACTTCTAGATGCAAGACGAATTGCAAAAACTTAAAATGGAGAAAGAGACACATCTGCGTGAACTCAAACAGAAGGAAGAGTTGCAGAAGAGGATGCAGGAGAAGGTATTTACTATTTCACATAAATTGCTTATTCTTTTTTTTTTTTTTTTTTTTGAAAACAACACAGCCGCTTCTATTCTGGGGGGCATCAGTCCGGTTACTTATCACTGGCAAGCATGTGGAGGGGGAGAGGGGAAAGGGAAGGGGAAAGAGAATAGAACTTAGAAAAACGGCTTTACACTTGCGGCCCTAGTCACCCACACCCTCCTCCAGATCCTGGCTCTTCTTCAGGGTTCCCCTGCTGATCGGGAGGCGTACTAGCAGCACCCAGTCACGCAGCAGGGGGATCCCTAGAAGAGCGAGGTGCCGGGGGGGGAAGTCCCTAGCTGTCTCACTGGCCTCTTATCATCATCTCAAGATCTTCCCTAGCGGTTTTACTAGTGTGCTCGTTAGTGGTTTAACTAGTGTGGTCCCTAATACTCTACTTCTTATTTCCGCCCTCCGGGCGTTTAAAGAGCATCTAGTTTCATGTACAAAAGATTATTCATGTCTCTCTGGCTTGTCCCTCCATCCTTGCCAAAACCATCTGTTTTATATATCCAGCCTAATACTCTTGTCTCTCTACCCTTGTCTCTGTGCTTTTGCCAAGAGACAAACTGTCGCATACAGTAATGGTGCAGACCAGAACAAGAACCGACCTCTCGCACAAAGTACAAGATAGCGTAGCGGAAGACTTAGATACCAATGATCCGAACAATCAATGTTGCAATGCAGCCCCAACATACATCATCATCATTCCATGGTGTGAAGGGGCCTGGCGCTCACACAGGAAGAATGCGCCAGTCCCCAACCATACACAGACGAAGAAGAGGGGAGTTAGACGAAGAAGAAGGGAAGATGGGAATGTCGCCAACACCAAGTCTTCGGTACAGGTCCCAAATAATCCCTCGTCAAATGTCTGAATCCCCAGGTCGAGTCTGGATCCAATGTCGTCAAGTCTCAAAGTCACAACTCTCTCTCTCTCGTAGTCCGCAGATACTGAGAAGTCAGGTAGCGAGAGGGTGAAGAAGAGACGGTGGACTTAGAAGAGGAAGAAGAAGAACTCTCTCTCTCTCTCTCTCTCTCTCTCTCTCTCTCTCTCTCTCTCTCTCTCTCTCTCTCTCNCTCTCTCTCTCTCTCTCTCTCTCTCTCTCTCTCTCTCTCTCTCTCTCTCTCTCTCTCTCTCTCTCTCTCTCTCTTTGTCTGGATTCGCCCCGCGCGCCAGTCTTCGCGTGCCAGGATTTCCCGCGCGCGCTTGCGTGTCGGGATTCGTCGCGCGCACCACTAGTTGCGCGTCAGTCGCGACTTTTTTTTTTATTGGGCTGCGCGCGGCAACATTCGGCGTCGGGAGCCTTCACGAAGAAGAAGACGGAGAAGAAAGAAAGAAGAAGAAGAAGAAGAAGAAGAAGAAGAAGAAGAAGAAGAAGAAGAAGAAAAAAAAAAAGAAGAAGAAGAAGAAGAAGAAGAAGAAAGAAAGACGAAGAAGAAGGAATAGAAGAAGAAGAAGAAGAAGAAGAAGAAAGAAAGAAAGAAAGACGAAGAAGAAGAAATGACGACAAAGAAGTAGAAGAAGAAGATATGAGAAGAAGAAATGACGAAGAAGATGAAGAAGAAGAAGAAGAAAGAAAGTCGAAGAAGAAGTAGAAGAGGAAGAAAACGGACTGACGAAGAAGTAGATGAAGGTGTGACAAAGAAGATGAATAAGGAGAAGGAGGAGGAGGAAGAGGGGGTGCCGTTGGCCACGCGGAAGCTCGCCCGAACGGGCAGCGAGGAGGTGCGGCCTCTCTCTCTCTCTCTCACACACACACACACACACACACGACGATGATGACCAAGAAGAAGAAGAAGAAGAAGAGGAAGAAGAAATAGAGGAAGAAGAAGAAGAAGAAGAAGAAGAAGAAGAAGAAGAAGAAGAAGAAGAAACGGACTACTTACCTTGCGGGCTGCGGGAAGGCAATGGCGAGCTGCGGAAGGGCACGGCGGCAGGGCACGATGGCACGGTACAGTGGGGCCGATGAGCGAGCCGAAGCACACTTCGCCCGCTCGATTTCGACACAGCATTCAGGATCTGCCCGCATGCGAAATCGCGTGGGGAAACACTTTCAAATCGGGCGATTTCTGGCTGTCGATCTTCAAGATCGACGGCCAGAAATCGCCTGATTTGAAACAGCTCCCAGCACCCGGTAGATACCGGGAATTTTTTTTTTTCGGCGGCGTCGGGGGTTCTGCGAGGCAGCTTTGACCCCCCAGAGCCCGAAATCGAAAAAAAAAGAAATTTCGCGGGTCGGCGCATTTCAGGCCCGGGGGCCCGACCGGGCGTTCCGACCGGCCGGTCGCCCTGTCGTCAAACCGGGCGTGGCATCGGGACCCGGGCGCCCGGGATTTCGCCCTAGGACGAGGATCACCCCCCCTTTTTTTTTTTTGTATATCTGTTGATCTGCTATGAGTGAGGCCTTTCAGAGGAGTACTATGAGCGAGATCTAGGCAAGGTTCCGCAAAGTTTCGGCTTTCAAAAAAAATGCGATCTTGAAAAAAAAAATTGCGCTAAATAGACTGGAGGTTCCACTTTCAGAGAAGAATAAATTCAGTCTCCAAGAATATGACAACCTCTATCGCTATCCTAATATGCCTAGAAAACAAAATGTTAACGTCAGAAATTTTCGGTTATGTATGCAAATATCAGAAATTTTCGGATGCTAATATCAGAGAAACAAAATGCTACTATCAGAAATTTTCAGATATTTGTTGCGTGAAAACGAAATGCTAATATCAGAAATTTTCAGATAAAACGAAATGCTATTATCAGAAATTTTCAGATAAAACGAAATGCTATTCACAGAAATTTCAGATATTTGTTGCGAGAAAGAGAAAAAAATTCAGAGATTTGACGAAGTCCTACTTGATTTACTAATAGACAATCAATCAATCAATCAATCAATCAACAATCAATAGATCAAGCAAGCTGGCTACGTGATTGAGAGGGTCCTCTGATTGAGAGGTCCGCTCCGATACCAAACTGTCGCATACCGTAATTGTGCAGACCAGAACAAGAACCGACCTCTCTCACAAAGTACAAGATAGCGTAGCGGAAGACTTAGATACCAATGCTCCGAACAATCAATGTTGCAATGCAGCCCCATCATTCCATGGTGTGAAGGGGCCTGGCGCTCACACAGGAAGAATGCGCCAGTCCCCAACCATACACAAACGAAGAAGAGGGGGGTTAGACGAAGAAGAAGGGAAGATGGGAATGTCGCCAACACCAAGTCTTCGGTACAGGTCCCAAATAATCCCTCGTCAAATGTCTGAATCCCCAGGTCGAGTGTGGATCCAATGTCGTCAAGTCTCAAAGTCACAACTCTCTCTCTCTCGTAGTCCGCAGATACTGAGAAGTCAGGTAGCGAGAGGGTGAAGAAGAGATGGTGGACTTAGAA